CAAATGGGAGAGTTGAATGGGGATGTGGTGGGAATCACCACCCCTGTGTCTTTCAAGTCCTTTATGGTGGCAGTAATCTCTGCAGTCCCTCCAGGAATGTTTACTATTTTTCTAGGTAATGGCAGATCTAATGGCTTCCATTTGGCCTTTCCCACTGTAACTGCTCTCACTCTACCAGTCAGCCAGTGTACGGGTTCTGCCATCTGCTAAGTATGCCTGTGCCACTCAGGCATTCTGGCACTGGGGAAATGGCCACAGGTTGAGTCTGGGGACCCATTGGACCCACTCTAAGTTGGACCTGAGCTAAAACTCTAATAATTACCTGACCTGTTTAAGCCCCTGCTTTAACTGGAGGACCACAATGACATTTTAGGTCCGCTGGAATCAACATCAGCTCAGAGCCAGTGTCCAGTAGTCCCCTGAAATGTCTGATCATTTCCATTTCCGCAGTGCACAGTTACCCTGGTAAAAGGCCATAGGTCTCCTTGGGGAAGGATTTGAGAAAGATTCACTGTATAAATTGTTAGTAATGGAGTGAGATCTTTCCTCAAATGGACCCAGCCTCTCTTTCGTTCATGGGTTTCTGGGTCTGTAAACTGTCTCAAGCCTGGAAATTAATTGAGGGGCCATGATTCTTTGTTTTTATGATTCAAATTAGTCTTTTATCCATTTAACCTATAAGTTTTCTGCTTGTATAAACTAAGTTGGAATGCAGCAGGTTTCCTATCAAATTCACTTCTAGGAATACCATGATTAATTAGCCAGTGCTGGAGCTCCACATGAGTCAAACTATTCTGGTTGCTGCTTTGCCTTTGCTTTCCATTATAGTAGCTATGCCCACTTTGCCTTAGATGGTTGTGTGCCACCACTTGGCCCCTGCCACCTTGGGATCCAACTATTCCCATTGTATTTAAATTTTGTAGTTGAGTGACTGCAGTTCCCACTGTTAGATCTGACATAGAGAGAAGAGCAATTACAGGACTCTTTAAAGATGCAGTTGCTGCCCTCGTAATTCTGTTTCACAAGGCATTGGTCAAGGGTGTATCTTCTGGACCCTCCCAGTTGGGATGAGCAGACATAAAGTCACTAATCCATTCCATCATTGCAATCTCCCTAATCCTTTGGATCCTTTTCTCTACATTAAACCAAGAGAAATCGTGCATTTCCATTTGCTCATAGTGGCCTTTATTTTAATCCATATTTCAACCAACCAAGCAAATAAACCAGGAGAACCTTTTTTTTTTTTTTTTTTAACTCCTTGAGCTGCAACGCTAAATGCAGAGTCCCTACTTAGTGGGCCCAAATTAATAAATTCAGCCTGATCTAACTCTGTGTTCCTTCCACCATTATCCCACGCCCTTAATATACATTTCCATGCCTGTTCTCCACATTTCTGTTAATATAAACTAGAAAACTCAAACACATTTTTTTGAGTATAGTATACTTCATCATGGGTCATACTCAACCTCACCTCTGGGGCCTGCCGGGATTTTAGTTATAGGCCTAGAAGCAAACAGGTGTTGGGGGGTGCTGGTCTCACACCTGCTTTTGGACCTTTGCACTTGCTGTGCTCCATAAGGAATACTTCCCATACCTTCCAGATCTCATTTCAAACAGTCTTTCTTAGACCTTTGCTGATCTCTGGGCTATATCATATCTACTTTTATAAAATCTTGTGGCTCCTTCTTCCTGTATTTTAAAATTGCATTTATCTCTGTTTGCAGGTAGGTATTTACATGATTATTGGATGCTGTTTGTTTCCTCAATTAAAATATAAGTTCTATGAGGGCAGAGACAATTTCAGTCCTTACAAAGGTTTAGAATGGCCCTGACAGTAGACAACAAATATTAAATGACTGAAATGCATAGTGGGACAATTAAAATACAAACTGATTAATTCTAAAGTGTATTAGACTGTTTTCACACTGCCGATAAAGACATACCCAAGACTGGGCAATTTACCAAAAAAGAGGTTTATCGGACTTGCAGTTCAATGTGGCTGGGGAGGCCTTGCAATCATGGTGGAAGTTCACCTTCCATGTCTCACATGGCAGCAGGTAAGAGACCAGAGCTTGTGCAGGGAGACTCTCATTTTTAAAACCATTAGCTCTTGCGATACTTACTCACTATCACAAGAACAGCATGGGAAAGACCTGCCCTCATGATTTAGTTAGCTCCCACTAGGTCCGTCCCTCATCACATGGGAATTCAAGATGAGATTTGAGTGGGGACACAGCCAAACCGTATCATAAAGTGAGCTAAGTATATATGAGATCACAGTGTTGTCATGTTAAGCATTGTTATTTGGGAATACTTAAGTTATTGTAGCACTGGTCTGATAAGCCGTTGAAGCCAAGAGCTTAAGACCAGCTTAAGCAACAAAGTGAGACCCCATTTCTACAATAAATAAATAAATAAATAAAGGCATAAGTAGTATTTTGAATTACCCAATATGCTTAAAATCTTCTCAGAACTTCATTGTGTTGTACTTGAATGAACTTTACAACAAAAACTTGCCCCTTTTATTGAATCTGCACAATATTTGAAGTTTATAATTCAGAAAGGTTATCACTGGTTATATACAAATGTATGTTTACTTATATTACTTACGTTTACAATTTGTTTATTTCCTTTATGTGAAATGTGTTTATTTTAGTTGTCTAAGGCATAAAACCTTTAAATTTCTACCAACTTGTTAAAACAAGGAATAGATATTTTAGTAGCTCTTATGAAAGTTAGAAAGAAATCAAAAAGGTTTAAGTAATATAGAGATTATGCTTTTATGTTGACTTTTTATATTGGGCCTTTATTTACTACATGACTATTGTTGGCAGATTGAAGTGTATTTGTGAAAACTCCTAAGTCTTTAGTATTTCATTGAAAATTGGCTTCGCGCTGTTGTTTACTTTTTAAAATTAGTGCTCTCGATAAGATTTTGGTTTTCATCTCTCCTGAATTCTTCCTAGGAGTGCACAACTTCAAAAATGAGGCATAGTCAGCAGAAAAAAGAGGTGGTCTGAGCATTTGTGCGTTAAATATGCATGTTAATTAGGAAAAAAATTAGAAAAATATGAAAACAGATGTTACATAAATTATTGCAGTCCCACGGCAGCAGTAACTTATACACTGACAATAATTTTTATATGTGCATGTGTATATCTATTTCTGGATTTCTCAATATTTATGTAATTCCTAAGAGCATAACTAGAAAAAGAACTGGTATATCCTTTCAGTGAGGCTATGGTAAACATTCCTGCTGCATATGGATTTTTGAGAAAGTTTAGTTGTTTCATATAGTCTTACTGTAGAGATGGTTTTTTGTATTTCCTAATTCTGCCCATAGCGTTCTTTTTTTGATTCCTTTCTTGGTTTCTCTGATGGTATGTAAATTTATTCTTTGATTGGCTATGTCCTGTCACAACAGGAAGGTTAATTAAGGATCTTGGTAGAGTAAGAAATTGAAAATTGGCCTAAAATAAAAAATTGTTCTAAAGTATGTATTTAGAAATAAAACACATTATAACTATTAATTATAGTGTTACTTTTTCTTCGTGTTACTGTCATACATTCTGAAGAAATGGCCATCGTTCTCTGAACAGTAGTGACATACTACTATGACAATACATATTGGTACAGATTTCATCAAATACACATATGTTGGAGTAGTTGAAAGCTATTTGAGTATGTTTTATTCTAAACAGCCATCCAAAGAATAAAAATGGTCTATATTTTTACAAAATTAAGATGAGAAATAGTCATGCTTTGTTTTAGTGTTTTAGCAATTTTTAGTTGAGCCATACATGAAAAAGCATGAATATAGTGCTGTGCAAGGAGCAGCTGATGATATTTAGATATTTTCCATTTGTGTAATATAATTTAGAAAAGTATTGTTTGTTACTTTTCAAATTAGATTGGAAATTAAAATAAGAAAATGCAACATCACAATGTAATGCATAATTCTCTTTACCAAGCAGACAAACAAAATATGAATTGTATTCAGTAAAATGGGCATATCTAAAAGGGCAAAAAACTGTTTCTGGAAATCCTGTTTTCAGAAGTGTGCTTTTGTTATTTGATTTTAGTAGAATGTCATACTAAAATGTGTTTGAAATAATTAATTCCTACTGAATCTCAATAAGTTTCAGTTAGAATCTGTCATCTTGTTTTTCAGTTACATGTTATTGATTTATGTTTTACATTATATTAGTGAAGTGCTGCTATCTTTTTTTTACATGCACTAAGCCAACAGTAAGCTCTTAACAGGTTGGCGAACCTTAAGAACTACTAGAGAATAAAATCTAGAGGAAGTTTAGTAATTTTTGTTCTTAAGAGGTTTTTTTACTTAAATTGGATAGCTTAGTGAAGAAATTTAGTTATTATTCTTACAGATTTTATGTAAATATATCTATGTCTATTATTATTTATGGAGGTGTATTAGTAAAGATGATAAAAGTGTTTTTATCTAGAAAAAGGCTGTGAAAATTAATATTAGCACCTAAATAATATTCATGTGTCATCACTGATGCATCTGTATTCTAATTTTATATTTTATTAATGCTTTGGAATCCATTTTCAATGAAATTTTTTTCACATTTGTTTTCAAATGTCAAATTTCCATTTTTTATATTATGTGATTTTAAAATGTGATACTATTTTACTATGTGTTAGAATAGTAGGTTCCTTATTTCAACACTTTTATGTCATTTCAGTGCAAAGTTAAATGAAGTAAGAGGTGATTGTTTTATAGTGAAGTCTGTTGTTTTTGTATTATATCTGTAAAATGCCGTATATTTTTGGTATTAGAAAAGCTTCCATTTCTTCCAGGAGTTAAAATAGGCGAAGGAAAGAGTGATTAATGGGTAGTTTAACGTTTGTCCTCTAAGAATTTAAATATTTTGATAGGAATTTTTTTTAGACTGCCTTTTGAATTGTTTGATGTTAATTAGGGTTCCTCCTGGGATAAGAGCATTTGAAGCTATTTTATTTATTTGTTTTTCTAGGGAGATGCTGTTTTTCCAGCAGCTAAGTAGAGGAAGAACTTAGCTCGTCTCTGTTTCTTGATTCCTCTTCAATTTCTGTTTGCTAACCAAGACTTGTGTTTGGAGAACTCTATTGTACTGAGCCTAAGTCATCTTCGATCTATAACAAGAACATGCATTTTCACATGTCAACCAGATTTGTGGACCAGTAAAGTTCTCCCAAAAGGTAAGCATATATATATTAAAAATATACGTTTTAAAATAGAATACTCTCAGTACCCTTACCACAGTAATGTGTCCCATAGATATTTGTGCAAAAAAAAGAAAAAAAAAAAAGTATGTGTGTGTACTTCTGCCAAATTTAGATTGAAGACTTCTTCAGGGAATAGTGTTGCCCCTGCAACACAGTTACTCAGTTTCCTGATCTGTTTCTGTCTTACCTCCTACTTTCAGTCACCAGTTTCCTTTCTTTTCCCTTTGCTCATTGTTTTTCTTCTCAGTTGGCTGAATCTTCCAGGTGTCTTTTAAAAATGTTTTTCCACCAGCAGACTTCAGCACTTTCCTTAGGGAATACTTTTTGTATCCACAGGCCTTTTATTTTCTATTCTCCGCCCCACAACATTTTTTAAAGGAGTAGGAAATTAGAATGATTGAACTTAGAGTTGAAGGTATATCAAATAACACTCACAATTGTTTTCCCCATTATAACCCATAGAAAGGAATAAAATGTGTATTTATGAGCCGAGTCCTATAGGTATAAATGAAACTGAAACAAAAGTTTAATTTTTACCCCAACTACCTGGGATGTGTTGTATGCTGTATTATATTATATCCTTTGTATATTTTATTTAATGCTTCCTGGTATGTGTCACTTATGCAATTTCAGAAACCCAGCTTTAGATCACTTGAATGTTTGTTCATCACTGATTTGTTGAGAGAGTTAAAATAAATGAGATAATTTCTTTTCTGCATCAATAAAGCTGCCTTTTCCCTTGTCTCTTCTGTGCTTCTCATCTCTTTCCCCATTCAATATAAGCGATCAAATGACCTAAGAACTGGGTTACTGCTGGGAAACTCCGCAGTCCTTACTGGGTTTTTTTTATAGAAAGAAGTACACAAGTATTGAGATCTCAGAATTTTAAAGAAGAATAAATCTTTGATATAATCATATCTTTATAGTAAAATGTATATTTCTTTATTCTCTTCTTGTTTGTTTTGTCTGTCTAAATTGTATGTGCATCCTGATGTCCTTAAATGATTCTTGGTCTGAAACATGTTTAACTTTTTACATCCTGAGTATCAAGTTAGAATAACCCAGATCCTTTCCCAAAGTGGTTTCTTCTAGTACCCATTCCCATTTTATTTAACACTTGTCTCCTTTTAATAAATTGTAGGCATTTTTTTTGTGATTTATTTTTTGTTAAAAGTTTGGTAAATATAGAAAAACATAAAGAATATAAAAATTATCACTAATCCAGGCTGGGCATGGTGGCCCACACCTCTAATCCTCGCACTTTGGGAAGCCAAGGTGAATGGACTGCTTGAGCTCATGAGTTGGAGACCAACTTGGGCAACATAGCAAATCACCACATCTGTCTAAAAAATAAATGTTAACTTAAAAAAATTAAAAGAAAATTATTTTGAATCCTATCATACATAGATGAACTGATATACCATTTTAAAAATCTATTATATTTAGCTTTACTTGAATTTAATAGAGGAAAAAAACCACCTGAAATGAAACTTAAAGAATTGCTAAACCTCAGATAAGCTCCCCTCCTCCAAACCATAAACACTAGCTCTGAGGGCCTTCCAAAGTTAGGTTGACATTATGAACGTCTTTGAAAATCTTTACTCTGGAAATAAGAAAATAGAAAGAGTGAACTGAAAGGAGAATGTCTTTTATTTTAAGGTAATCTATTGAGGTGAAATTAATATAACAAAATTCACCATTTTGAAGTGAACAATTCCATAGCATTCAGTATGTTGACAGTGTTCTGCAACCTTCCATCTCTATCGAGTTCGGAACATTTCCATCATGCCATAGTAAAGTATTACCTGTTAAACAGTTTGTCTTCATTCTGCCTTAGCCCTAGGCTCTGACAGCCTTCAATCTGTATTTCATCTCTATAGATTTATGTGTTCTGTATATTTAATATGAACATAACCATATAAGACGTGATGTTTTGTGGGTGGTTTCTTTCATTTAACATAATATTTCCAATTTTCACATTGTAGCACTTGTTACTTCATTACTTTTCTTGGCTGAATGCTATTCCATTTGTTTATCCATTTATTCGTTCATATACATTTGGTTTGCTTCCACTTTTTGGTTACTCTAAATAGTGCTGCTATAAACGTGTTCAAGTACCTATTCTCTGTTCATATGAGTATGTACCTAGGAGTGGAATTGCTAGGTCATATTGTAATTCCATATTTAACTTTTTGAGGAACCACCAAACTGTTTCCCATGGCAGTTGCATCATTTTACATTCTTGTCAGCAATGTATGAGGGTCCTACTTTCTTTGAGATAGAGTATTGCTCTGTTGCTCAGGCTGCAATGCAGTGGCACGATCTCAGCTCACTGTAACCTTTGTCTCCCAGGTTCAAGCGATTCTCCTTCCTCAGCCTCCCGAGTAGCTGGGACTACAGGTGCATGCCACCAAGCCTGGCTAATTTTTTGTATTTTTAGTACAGATGGTTTTTTCCATGTTGCTAAGACTGGCCTCAAACTCCTGAGCTCAGGCATTCCTCCTTTCCTCCTCCCTCAGCTTCCCAAAGTGCTAGGATTACAGGCGTGAGTCATTGCACCTGGCCAGGTTCCACTTTCTCTATGTTTTGCTAACACTTATTATTTTCAATATTTTTGATTATCAGGATATCTTATGATTACTGATAAATGACTTTTAACAAAGTAGAGAAATAATATATTTCTTCTGTATTTAATTAATTTCTTTCGGTGTGGTTTTTTTTTTTTTTTTTTTGAGATTGGGTCTCAGTCTGTCTCCCAGGCCAGAGTGTAGTGGTATGATCTCAGCCCACTGCAACCTCTGCCTCCTAGGCACAAGCAATCCTCTCACCTCAGCCTCCCAAATAGCTGAGACCACAGCATGAGCCACCATACCTAGCTACTTTTTGTATTTTTTGTAGAGATGGGGTTTTGCCATGCTGCTCAGGCTGGTCTTGAACTCCTGAGCTCAAGTGATCCACCTGCCTTGGCCTCTCAAAGTGCTGGATTATAGGCATGAGCCACCATGCCTGGTCCATATTTTATTTGTTATTTAGCAATTACATTGATCATATAGGGATTATGCATCATTTCAGAATATCACTTGGTTCTGTTTTCTCTCCAGAATTACCTGACCAGTAGACATATTTTTCCCACAGTAAAAGTTTCTTTCTTCATTTGCTCAAAATCATGTATTTTCTTTCACATATTTATCATTTTTTTGGCATATGTATAATTTTTTTAATCAGAGTTTTAAATTGCCATTCTTTTTGTTTACTGCTCATGAGAGATTTATGCCTGTATTTTTTTTTTTTTTTTTGATAGTGCACCATAGTTGTACTTTTGGGCTCTTAAATCATAAAGTAACATTTGCGTAAAGTTATTTACACTCTTTTTGAAGAAATTTCTCAACCTTAACCTTCTATTTAAATTAAACCAGAACTTCCTTGGCCTTTTGCTGGCATGTCTTTCTGAGATTTCTTTTCACTATACTACTGAGTTAGTTGTACTGCTTTTTGTATCCCATTTTTGTCGTCATCCATGAATTTTCTGAGTTGTGCATATTAGAAAAATTTTTAATTTTATTTTAACAGTTGATTGATAATTTAGCTGGGTATATGTTTCTAGTTTAAAATGATTTTCCTCTGAACTTTGAAAGCTTTGCTTTAATTTTTTTCTACTATCCGTCATTCTTCCTGAGAAATTTGAAGCTGGTCTTACTCATTGAGGACTGTTTTAGGAGTTATCACACTGAAAACAAAATGGATAAAAATCCTTAACTTGATTAAGCTTACATCCAGGGTGGAGAAGTTGATAACCAGCAGGATAAATAAATAAAATCTGTAGCACCTTAGATAGTGACTCTGTGAAGGAAAATAAAGCAGCTGGTCAGAGAGAGAGAGTTTGGAGTATAGGGAGAAGAGTGGAAGTTTTAAATAGGGTGGTCAAGGAAAGCCTCACCGATAAGGTAGCATGTGAGTAAAGACCTCAAGGAGGTGAGAGAGTGAGCTGAAGGATCATCAAGCGCAAAGGTCCTGAGGCAGGAATATTAATGATGCATTCACAGAACAGCCTCAAGGTCAGTGTGGCTGCAGCAAAGTGAGTAGAGAGTAGTGGGGAGTAAATAGAGTGTAACTGGGAATCTAGGTCTTTTAAGAACTTAGATTTCATTTTGAATGAGATAGGGAGCCATTAGCGAGTGTCATCATCTGCTTTGTAGTTTAAAAGAAATACTGGCTGCCAGTTTGAGAATAGATTTTCAGGGAGCAAGGACAGAAGCAGAGAGACCATGTAGAAGATTCAAGGTGATAATTTTGGTTTGAATAACAGTATATGCTATTGGATTGGATTTGAGTTATGCAAGAAAGAGATGAGTTAAGAATGACTCCAAGAGTGCTTGGCCTGAATTACAGAAAATATAGAGAGCTTCATTTAATAAAGGAGGGGAAGATTATATGATAAAAGGAGTACATTTGGGGGAGAGGATCAGGAGTTTCATTCTGAATATGTTAAGTTGAGACGTCTGTTGGGTAGAAAGCTCAAGGAAGCAGTTAGACACATTGGTCCAGAGTTCAGGAAAAGAGGTCTGAGATGAAGGAAGAACTGTGGAAGCTGTTAATTGTAGATGGTATTTAAAGGTATGTATTAGTCCATTTTCATACTCTGTGAAGAAATATTTGAGACTGGGTAATTTATAAAGAAAAAGTGGTTTAATGGACTTCTAGTTCTTCATGGCTAGGGAGGTCTCACAGTCATGGCAGAAAGTGAAGGAGGAGCCTGTCTTACATTACGCAGGCAAGAGAGCATGTGCAGGGGAATTGTCCTTTATGAAACTGTGAGATCTCATGAGACTTACCATCACAAGAACAGCATGGGAACAACCCTCCGCCATGATTTGATTACCTCCCACCAGGTCCCTCCCATGACACATGGGGATTATGGGAGCTACAATTCAGGATGAGATTTGGGTGGGGAGACAACCAAACCATATCAAGAT